TGGGGGAAGTCGCGGGGCCCCTCAGGATACGTACGGATGCCTCTGATAATCCCCCAGCGTGCCCCACGAGATGGCCAGAGGGTGCCCGAACAGAACCCGAGGACGTCGACGACGGCGGCGATGAAGACGGCGGCGATCGCGGCGACGAAGGTAGCGGCGGTTGCCATGGGTTAGTACCCAATCAGAGCTTGCCTCTGTAAGGGTCCTGGCGGATTAAAAGGTTCGATGAAGTTCGGCAAGATTCCGGCCCCATGCAGGCGGGCCGGGTGCCCGGGTGCCCGGGTGCCCGGGTGCCTGGTGCCTGGGTGCCTGGGTGCCCGGTGCCCGGGTGCCGGGGTGCCTGGGGGTGCCCTATCGCCCTATAGCCCTGTAGCCCTATTGCCCTATAGCCGTATAGCCCTATAGGACTATAGCCCAATAGCCCTATATCCATCTATAGCCCTCTGATCCTATAGCCCTGTAGCCCTATAGCCCCATAGCTCTACAGCCCAACAACCCTATAGCCCAATGGCCGAATAGCCCACATAGCCCTATAGCCCTATGGCCCTAGCCATATAGCCCTATAGCCCTACAGCCCTATAGCCCTGTAGCCGCCCTGTAGCCCAAGTCGTTTTCATCCTGAGTCGTTTTCTGACGGTCCCGGGAACCTGCGAGGGGCCCCGGAGGCCGAAAATTAACAAAAACCGCCGTCGTGATTTTTCCAAGACGTCGGAGGTCCAGGTCGTGCTTCCCGCCTCCCCAGACCTCCGACGTCGTAATTTTTGCGACCTCGGGCCCAGGAATCGATTGGGAAAACGCACATGGGAAGGCAAGAAATGATGGACCCATCATTTCGTACCTGTGCCTTGATCAGTGGGACGGGCTTCGCACCGCCGCACATCACAAGACACGCTCGAGCGGATCCAGCCCGTGGCGACGTCGGGGACTGCAGAAGGTCGCATGGACACAGAATGTGAAAGGAAGAGAGAGAAAGAGAGAAAGAGAGGGAGAGAGAGACAGACAGACAGAGAGCGAAGGAGAGAGAGAGAGAGAGATGGAGAGAGAGAGAGAGAGAGAAACAAAAAAAAGATAGAGAGAGAGAGAGGTAGAGAGAGGAAATGGAGAGGAGGCGAGCTTGAGTCAACGAAAGTCGCAGGGAAGGGGGCAGGGGGAAGAAGGCCAGAGAGCGCTGAAGGATACAAATACTGGAACCCTCTTGGGATTTTTTGGGGGGCCTCGTCCGGCCGCTCGCTGGGAGTTTGACGTAGCTTCTCGGGAGCCTCTGAACCTGTCGGGGGCCTCCTGGAAGCAGGTTCGAAGCATTTTGGGGGCCGATTTGGGGCTTCTCGGGGCCTCCTTTGGGCCTCTTGGGGGTCTCCTGGGACCTCTTGAGGGGCCTCCTTGGGGCCTCCTGGCGGCCTCTTGGGGCGGAAGGCTCGAGCTTGCGGTTCGTGGTCCCCCTCTGGGCCCCCTCTTGGGCCCGTCTTGGGGCCCTCTTGGGCCATCTTGGGCGCCTCTTGGGCCGTCTTGGGGCCCTCTTGGGCTGTCCTGGGGCCCTCTTGGAAGCTTCTTGGGCCGTCTTGGGGCGGTCTTGGGCGCCTCTTGGGCCGTCCTGTAACGTCGGAAAGCCCAAAAGGCAACTTTGTGAAAAATGTACGTTTTACGAAGGGAATGGGCCAATTTTTGCGTCTAGGGGCCCTCTTGGGGCGCATGTTGGAGGCTTCTTGGGGCGTCTTGGGGGCGTCCTTGGACGTCTGGAGGCCATCTTCAGCATCTCGGAGCCCTCTTGGAGGCCTCTTGGAAGTTTCTTGGGCCGTCTTGGGCGCTCCTGGGGCCGTCTTGTCTGACCGGGGAGGCCTCCGGCAAGCCCCGACGAGCCTCCGGGCCCCCCGGAGCCCACATTTGTGGTCGAGGTCCCGGCCCCGGGCCCCTGGACCCGCTGCGCCGTTATATGTATATTGCATCACTTAGACTACACTGTGTGGCTTGCACCACATGGATTGCAAACCGCATGGTTCACCACATAGCCTACACCATATAGCGCATACCCCATTACCACAAACATGACACCACATAACTTACGCCGAATACCGCTTACCACGTACATTTCCCTCTTTTGAAAGAACTTCTGCCCCGCCCCCCTGGATGTATCTGTCTGGCCTCGCGGATTACAATATGCGTATGATCCCGCACCACTCCGCACTTCCCATGCTGATATCTCCATGTTCCATCCTCAGAGGGCTCCCCACCCACCCAATGATCCTTCTAAAAAAAGAACTGCGTGCTCACTCGTACACACTCGTTTATCAAATGTATCTGTTTCCGAACATCCTTGAGCAAAGCAACGGCAGAAAAGCCACACGTACGCGTCGTCGCGCGCGCGCATGCCAGAATCCTTCACAAACCGCTAGTTTCGTAAGGATTTCAAGATCGAGTGTCCCCAAAAATATCTAACAATAGCCTGGCGAATGACCCAACCATATGCAGGTGTGAAGAACGCAGTTGTGATAATCGTCTTCGGTGGAGTACCCTATGGGACCACGAAGCGTGTGAAGGATGTGCTGAATGGGCGCGGTGGGCGCATGCGAACGCAGCCATTGGGGCCGTCGGTGGAGTTCCTTATGCGGCCACGAAAGTGTGAAGTGTATGTCGAAAAAAAAGGTGGGGCGGACGCATGCGAACACCGCCACTGGGGCCTTCGGTAGCGCTCCCCATCGGGCCAGAAAACGTGTGAGTGGTGAGACGAAATGGGCGTGGCGGACGCATGCGAACAGCGTCACTAGGGCGTGCAAAGCCAGTCCCCATGGTGCCACGAAGCGTGTGAGTGGTGTTCCGAAATAATTTGGGTGGGCGCATGCGAACGCAGCCGACTTCGGTGAAGCTGCACATGGGTCCACGAAGCGTGTGACGGTTGTGCCAGCATTGGCGCGTTGGGCACGTGCGGACGCAGCCACTGGGGCCTGCGGTGGAGTTCCTTATGGGCCCACGAAACGTGTGAGTAGTGTCGAAAAGAGTGGGGCGGGCGCTTGCACACGCAGTCACTGGGGTTTCGGTGGAGCTCGGTATGCGGCCACGAAATGTGTGAGGGGTGCGTCGAAATTGGTGCGGTGGGCGCATGCGAACGCAGCCAGAGGGGCCTGCGGTGGAGCTCCCTATGGGGCCACGAAGCATGTGAGGGGTGTGCCAACATGGGTGCGGTGGGCGCAGGCGAACGCAACCACTGGGGCCTTCGGTGGAGCTCCCTATGGGGCTACGAAATGTGTAAGGCGTGTGCCGGAATGGATGCGATGCCACTAAGGGCCTTCGGTGGAGTTTCCTATGGGGCCACGAAGCGTGTGAGGGGTGTGCCGAAATAAGTGCAGTGGGCGCATGCGAACGCAGCCACTGGGGCCTTCGGAGGAACTCCACAATCGGGCCGCGAAACGAGTGCGCAGTGTGCGAACATGGGTGCGGCGGGCGCAGGCGGACGCAGCCACTGGGGCCTTCGGTGGAGCTCCCTGTGGGGCCACGAAATGTGTAAGGCGTGTGCTGGAATGGATGCGATGAGCGCAGGCGAACGCAGTCACTGTGGTGTGGCCTTCGGTGGAGCTCCCTATAGGGCCACGAAGCGTGCAAGGGGTGTGCCGAAATAGGTGCGGTGGGCGCATGCGAACGCAGCCACTGGGGCCTTCGGTGGAGCTCCCTGAGGGCCCACGAAACGTGTGAGGGTGTGCGGAAATAGGTGCGGTGGGCGCATGCGAACGCAGTACTGTGGCCTTCGGTGGAGTTCACTATGGGGCCACGCAACACGTGAGGGATGTTCCCTAATGGATTGGTGGGCGCATGCGAATGCGTCGAAATGGGTGCGGCGGGCGCATGCGAGCGCAGCCATTAGTCACTGGAGCCTTCGGTGGAGCTCCCTGTGGGGCCAACGGAACGTGTGAGGGGTGTGCGGAAATAAGTGCAGTGGGCGCATGTGAATGCAACCACTATGAAGCCACGCAACACGTGAGGGGTGTTCCCAAATGGGCTGGGTGGGCGCATGCGAACGCAGCCAGCGAGGCCTTCGAAGGAGCTCCCTATAGGCCCACGAAGCGTGTGAGGGGTGTGCCGAAATAGGTGCAGTGGGCGCATGCAAACGCAATTACTGGGGCATTCGGTGGGGCTCCCGATGGGGCCACGAAACGTGTGAGGGGTGTGCCGAAATGGGTGCGGTGGGCGCATACGACCGCGCATACGACCGCAGCCGTGGTGGCCTTCGGTGGAGCTCCCTGTGGGGCCACGAAATGTGTAAGGCGTGTGCCGGAATGGATGCGGTGGGAGCATGGGAACGCAGGCACTGGGGCCTTCGGTGGAGTTCCCTATGGGGCCACGAAACGTATAAGGGGTGTGCCGAAATTGGTGCGGTGGGCGCATGCCGACGCAGCCACTGGGGCCTTCGGCGGAGCTCCCTTATCGGGCCACGAAACGCGTGAGGGGTGTACCGAAATAGATGCGGTGGGCGCATGCGAACGCAGCCACTGGGGCCATCAGTTGAGCGGGCAAAGATCTTATCGCCGTTTTCAATTCCTGGCATGACATCTGTCCTTTTCTGGAATATTTGCGAGTGGCATCATGTTTGGGTTTCGAACTCTCTGGACGGTCGTCTGCTAATGGGCCACGTCCTGCAATGAAAATTCATGTATGTAGGGATCCGTGAAGAGAAAACCTGGAAGGAGGGTTCATGGGTTATTGCGCCTTGAGTTTACACTGGTCCCTCCTCCTCCTCCTCCTCCTCCTCCTCCTCCTCCTCCTCCTCCTCCTCCTTCCCCTCATCCTTCCTCATCCTTCCTCATGCCTCCCCCGTCCTCCATCCTCCCTCGTCCCTTCTCCCTCCTCCGCTCCTCTCTCCCCCCCCCTCCCCCGCCCTCCATCCTCCCTCGTCCCTTCTCCCTCCTTCCCTCCTCCCTCCTCCCTCCTCCTCGACCCTCCACCCGCGACCCTCCTCCGCCACCCGCCGCCGCCCACCCCCCTCCGCCCCCGGAGGCGGCGGGCGCGCGCGCCACGCCGCACACGAAGTGGCAGGGGCACAGCACCATCGTGCACTCCGAGCGCCTGGGGCCCCCCCACGGCGCGGGCGCGCGCCCGGGGCGCGCGCGAGGTCCGGGCGGGTCGGGAGCGGACCAGGGCTGGACCTGGAGTCGGGACTGATTTAAGGGGAGAACAAGCAATGACGTAAACAGAAAAACTCGGAGGTCCGCGCGGATTTCTCGGATCGGCGCTGGACTCTCCCCTCCCAGGCGCGCGGAGCGCGCCAGGGGCGGCGCCGGAGGCGCCGCCTGGGGGCCCCAGCGCCGATCCGAGAAATCCGCGCGGACCTCCGAGTTTTTATGTTTACGTCACTTTTTGTGCCCCTATGATTGGACAGGACACGCGAGAGGACACAAGACCCTTCCGAGGGCCACATTGCCACACGAATGTGAGAAGACGTGGGTCGCGGAGCTCAGGACACAAGGGTACCCTTGATTTGGCAGGGTCGACCTATTAATCTGGGCCGACTGTAAACATTGTTTTTTTCGTTTTGTTATCGTTTTGCTGTTCGTTGTTCTCTCCCCGATCTCCCGTGCCTCCCTGCCAAGGCGAACAACAAACAAAACACGGCCGAAGTCCAGCAGAACAGCGCTTCGGCTCAGCCCTGGAGCCGACACCGGGGACCGGACATCGGCCTGCCTCGTGCACCGCGTGGGTGCGACAGGGTGGGGCCGCGGCGCCCCACAGTTCCAGAGGCCACGCTGACGGCGACGTGGGGCATCCGGTGTCTCTGCGATGCCGGACCCAAGCGAAACAAAGTGTAGAAAAACACACACACACACACACAACGCTGTCCTGCAATTGAGTTGGCCATGGACCACCCCCACGTGCAGTATCGACACCTACAACGTGGAAGTTGTTGTGCTCCTCTTCTTTCAAATGCGACAGTGGTCCTTCGTACACTAGTTCGTACACTAGTTACGTACTAGTTCACGAATCGTGAGCGATCGACGAGCCATTGCACCTCCCACAGCCGACCCATCTGCCAGAGACCCACTACCTCAGCTTATAATCTTCCTCCCTCCTCCCTCCCTCCTCCTCCCGCCGCCCCACGTGAAGAGGGGGGCGGACCTTCTCCTCCTCGTTCTCCTCCTCCTCCTCCTCGTCGCCCTCCTCCTTCTCCTCCTCCTCCTCCTCCTCCTCGTGCTCCTCCCCTCATCCTCTCCTCCTCCTTCTCAGCATCATCATGATCATCATCATCATCATCATCATCATCATCATCATCATCATCATCATCATCATCATCATCATCATCATCATCATCATCATCATCATCATCATCATCATCATCATCATCATCATCATTACCACCATCACCATCAGCAGCAGCAGGAGCATCAGCATCAGCATCAGCATGATCATCATCATCATCATCATCATCATCATCATCATCAGCATCATCATCCTCAGCGGCATCATCAGCATCATCAGCATCGTCATCATCATCATCATCATAATCATCATCATCATCATCATCATCATCATCTAGATCATCATCATCATCATCACCATCATCATCAACAACATCATCATCATCAGCAGCAGCAGCAGCAGCAGTCTCATCATCAGCACTTATCATCGTCAGCATCATCATCAGCATCATCATCATCAGCATCAGCATCGTAAGCATCATCAGCATCATCATCATCCTCATCATCCTCATAATCCTCGTCATCCTCATCCTCATCATCATCAGCATCATCACCATCATCCTCGTCGTCATCATCATAATCATCATCACCCTTACGATTCCTCTTCCTCCTCCTCCTCACCACTATTAGTATCGTCATCATCGTCACCGTCATCATCTATACTCACCATCAGAATCACCGACTATCACCACCCTCTTATCATCGCAATGACAGTTAACACCATTACCAACATAATCGTCATCATCATCATCAGCATCATCACGACCACCATCATCACCGCCACCACCACACTAAGAAGTATCATCATCATCATCATCATCATCATCATCATCATCATCAGTATCATCGTCACCGTCATCGTCAACATCGTCGTCAAAGTCATCGTCATCGCCGCCGTCCCCAGCATCATCAACATCATCATTAGCATCATAATCAACATCATCATCATCATAATCAGCATCATCATCATCATCATCATCATCATCATCATCATCATCATCATCATCATCATCATCGTCATCATCAGCATCATCGTCATCATCATCACAATCATCATCAACATCACCAACACCATCATAATCTCCGTCCATCCACCCATCCATCCATCCGTCCATCCATCCATCGATCCAGCCTCCACACGCCCCCCGCCCCCAAGGGCGAAGAACGCGCGCCACCTCATCCGGAAGGTGCAGCTGCCGGTGTGCCTGTTCACGTCGCAGAGGTGCACCTGCCGGCCCGCAAGCCAGAGGCAGCCCCCCAGTGCCTCGGCCGCCGCCCACCTCTGCCCACCCCTGCCTACATCATCACCATCATCACCACCACCACCTTCATCATCATCATCATCATCATCATCATCATCATCATCATCATCATCATCATCATCATCACCATCACCATCACCATCACCATCACCATCATCATCATCATCATCATCATCATCATCATCATCATCATCATCATCATCATCACCATGACCATGACCATCATCATGATCATCATCATCATCATCATCATCATCATCATCATCATCACAATCATCACCATCATTAGCATCACCAGCGTCGTCATCATCAACATCAACATCATCATCCTCATCCGCATCCTCATCCACATAATCAGACCCAGCTCCATCACCAACACCATAAACATCACCATCACCATCCACATCACCAACACATTCATCGCCTCCAATAAGCTTCGGACACGACTCCAAAGATATCCCCACACGCATTCATAAAGTCGCTGATCTACAAGCCAAGCGCGGTGGTGGGATGGACCGAAGGTCATGAAGTCTGCCGCCGCCCGCGGTCTTGCCATTGGGGTGCCCGGCGTGCTAAATTTCAGGCAAACGGTTGCTGATTCTTTCAAAAACTCCCCGTGTATCTGGTCCATTACGCCGGCCACCTGGAATCACTCCCAAGTTGCCCAGATGGTTGCCCAAGATGCCTCCAAGACTGCCAAGACGGCCAAAGATGGCCTCCAAGATGCTTCAGAGACGGCCAAGGGGGCCCCAAGAGAGCACAATATAACCCCAGGACGAACCTAAGACGGCCCAAGATGCACCCTTCATGCCCTCAAGATGGCCCAAAACAGCTCCACGGGCACCCAAAAGGCCTCCCAGACGGCCCAAGAGTCATTAAGGTCCTCCAGGAAAGCCCGCGGAGGCCAAACTCTATGATGATCCATTGGTGCTTGAAGGATTTAGGCATTTGCTCCTTTTCAGTGTCCCGACGACCCAAGACAGATCAAGTGCTCCCCAAGATCGCCCCCATAGCGCCCAAGAGGCCTCCAACATGGCCCCATAACGGCCCAAGGGGCCCCCAAGACGGCCCCGAGAGGGACCCAAGACGGCCCAAGAAACCTCCAAGCCGCCCGCGGTGGCATCCAAGACTGCCCTGAAGAGCCCTGAGAGGGCCAAAAGACGGCCCAGAGACGCCCAGACGGCTTCCGACTGCGTTAGACGTGCCAGGAACGCCCTACGACGGCCAAGAAAGGCCTCAAGAAACTTACACATATGCCGAAGGCCCAAGGACGCCCCCAAGAGGCCTCCAAGAGGCCCCCAGAGAGCTCCCGGGAGACCCCAGGGACGCCCCGATAGGCTCTCAACAAGCCGCCCCTTCGTTGTTCCTCCCTCTCCTCCTTTTTCCAACCATCCTGTGGTGTTGGGTCCTCGTTTTGAAGAAACGGTCCCCGCGTTCCACCCTTTCTTCCTCCTCGCCCTCCCTTTCACCGCCCGCATGCGTCACGCACACCCATCTCGGCACACCCCTCACACGTTTCGTGGCCCCAAAGGAAGCTCTACCGAAGGCCCCAGTGCCACCGCCCGCATGCGTCACGCACACCCATTTCGGCACACCCCTCGCACGTTTCGTGGCCCCACAGGGAGCTCCACCGAAAGCCCCCGTGCCACCGCCCGCATTCGTCACGCACACACATTTCGGCACACCACTTACACGTGTCTTGGTGCCACAGGGAACACAACCGAAAGGCCACAGTGCCACCGACCGCATTCGCCACGCACACCCATTTCGGCACACCTCTCACACGCGTCGTGGTCCCAGAGGGAGCTCCACCGAAGGCCCCAATGCCACCGCCGCACACCCATCTCGGCACACTCCTCACACGTTTCGTGGCCCCACAGGGAGCTCCCCCGAAGGCCCCCGTGCCACCGCCCGCATGCGTCACGCACACCCATTTTGACACACCCCTCACACGTTTCGTGGCCCCACAGGGAGCTCCACCGAAAGCCCCAATGCCAACGCCCGCACGCGCCACGCACATCCATTTTGACACACCCCTCACACGTTTCGTGGCCCCATAAGGAGCTCTACGGAAGGCCCCAGTGCCACCGCACACACATTTCGGCACACCCCTCACATGTTTCGTGGCCCCACCGGGAGCTCCACCGAAGGTCCGCATGCGCCACGCACATCCATTTCGGCATACCCATCACACGCTTCGTGGCCACATAGGGAGCTCCACCGAAGGCCCGAGTGCCACCGCCAACGCCCACATGCGTCACGCGCACCTATTTCGGCACAGCCCTCAAACGTTTCGTGGCCCCACAGGGAGCTCCACCGAAGGCCCCAGTGCCACCGCCCGCAGGCGTCACGCACACCCATTTCGGCACACCCCTCACACGCTTCGTGGCCCCATAGGGAGCTCCACCGAAGGCCCCAGTGCCACCGCCCGCATGCGTCACGCGCACCCATCTCGGCACACCCCTCACACGCTTCGTGGCCCCATAGGGAGCTCCACCGAAGGCCCCAATGCCACCGCCCGCATGCGTCACGCACACCCATTTCGGCACACCCCTCACACGCTTCGTGGCCCCATAGGGAGCTCCACCGAAGGCCCCAGTGCCACCGCCCGCATGCGTCACGCGCACCCATCTCGGCACACCCCTCACACGCTTCGTGGCCCCATAGGGAGCTCCACCGAAGGCCCCAATGCCACCGCCCGCATGCGTCACGCACACCCATTTCGGCACACCCCTCACACGTTTCGTGGCCACACAGGCACCACCGAAGGCCCCCGTGCCACCGCCCGCATTCGTCACGCACACCCATTTTGACACACCCCTCACACGTTTCGTGGCGCCACAGGGAGCACCACCGAAGGCCCCAGTTGGAGCTCCCTCGAAGGCGACAGTGGCCGCGTTCGCATGCGCCCACCGCACCCATTTCGGCACACCCATCGCACGTTTCGCGGCAGGGAGCTCCACCGACGGCCCCAATGACTGCGTTCGCATGCGCCCACCGCACCTATTTCGGCACACCTCTCACGCGCTCCGTGGCCCCATAGTGACTTCCACCGACGGCTCCAGTGGCTGCATTCGTGGCCCCACAGGGAGCTCCTCCGAACGCGGTGCATTCAACGACGGTACTCACAACTGCATACGGTTGCCAGGCTACTTTGTTTCTCTGGATGAGCGGTTTCTTAACGTTATTCGTCTTGTGACCATCGTTATCACTATCAATATGATTCGTCATGTTCCTACTTGTTCGTGTCCGTCGTGGTGTGATGTTCGCTCGTCATCATAATACATGTTTATTCTCGCTCTTCTTAGTATGAGTATCCTGCCTATATTATTCTTACTCCCCTACGCGTTCCCCGAAGGGTTTCCGCGACGGCTGGAGAAACAGATCGTTCGATAGTTCGGCCGAACCGCGGCCGCGCACTTCGGCCACATAATTATCACAACCACTTCCTCTTTAAAAACATACTGTAATCGCAGAACAAAAAAAACATAACGACACATCAACACCACATCCGGCGCAATGTGGAGCCACGAGCTGCGCTGCAAGGCGCAAGCTGCGACCGCTGAGCAGAAACGCCGGGAGTTCTGTGGCGCGGCAATGACCCAGCACGCACTACCAAATCCACCCCAGCGCTCCTGCCGACAGAGCCTCCTGCCCTTCTGCCTGAGCCCCGCGGGCCCGCGAGATGCAGGAGAGGGCTGGCAACGGGGAGCGGCGCGCAGGGAAGGCCGCCCAGATCGAAGGGGGGGGGGGGTGCGCGCCGCCCGAAAGCCGCCAGCCTGCGCAAATCCGCGGCACCGGGCCCAAAAGGGCTTCCAATGTGCCCGCAGATTCGTCGCAACAAAACATTGCAGGCGGCCCCGGGGACCTCAGCTGACGCCGCGGATTCTCCTGCAGGCGCGACTCTGGCCACGAGAGCGCGGAACAGCCACGCACGCGGAGCCCCCTGGCGTCCACCAAAAAATGTTGCAGACGCCGGGGAACTTTTTGGGAGACAGTGTTGCATGCGTTGTTGTAGGCTGCTCCCCTGTCCCGCGGGGCTCTGGTCGCCGCCGCGGCCGCCGCCGCCGCGGCCGCCGGCGCCGCGGCCGATTTTGGGTCGCCCTCGCCGCCGCCGTGCTGCGTGAGCGGCACAGGGCCTTGGCGGCCGTCTCGGCGGCTCTCTGGCCGTCTCGGCGGCGCCCGACGACGCCCCGCTGGGAGGCTCATGCCTGCGGCCATGGGGCACTGCAGACCCCTGCGCGGCCTGGCGCTCAGGCCTGGCCCATCGCAGCTCGAGGGCGCGGTCCATGGCGCACCGTCGCCACTTCTTCTGCCCCTGACTCACCTCCTACGGGCTAACCCCAGCGCGCGTGACCATGCGACGCAGGTTTGCCAGGGGCGCGCCCTCCGCCGTCCCCGGCGGGCGCAGATCGACGACCGGAACATGGACATTTCCTCCTCCCCCTCCTCTTCCTCCTCCCCCTCCTCCTCCTCCTCCTCCTCGTCCTCCTCCTCCTCCTCCTCCTCCTCCTCCTCCTCCTCCTCCTCCTCCTCCTCCTCCTCCTCCTCCTCCTCCTCCTCCTCCTCCTCCTCCTCCTCCTCCTCCTCCTCCTCCTCCTCCTCCTCCTCCTCCTCCTCCTGGCGAGTAGCCCTGGGAGTCCTGGGAGTCCTGGGAGTCCTGGGCCGTCGCCTCGCCTCAGCCACAGACGCCGTGGACCTCCTGAGGGCCGAGCAGGCCTGGCCATGAAACCTGGCAGCCTCTGGGGGGGGGCCAGAGGACCTTGCCTTCCGAACGAATTTCGAGGCACGGGGGGGGGGGGGAAACGTAGCAACGGGCTTGAAATTCTCGATCGACGGGATAAGAAGATCGGGCCGCTCGAGGGGGAGAGCAGGGACAGTGCGGCGTATAATCAAAGCTACATGATATAAGCATCGCGGCCAGTCCCAATATCAAGCGAAGACATCTTCGCACCTGGGGCACCCA